CTCACATTCTTAGATCCAACAACAGGCTGAATCTGAATACTAACCTTTGTCAGTCTTAAATCCATAAAATTCACCACGTTAGTGGCTACAGACTGAGTCCTAGCACTAGTTGAAGGTTCAGAAGTCAGTTTGGCTACAAATCTACTCCTAAATTGAATATAGATACACCCATAACATTGGGCACAGTTTGGTCACTAACAATTAATACAGATTGAACTTCTCTACTAATACACAAATTTCTGTTACACTAGCCAAAACCTATGTCTCAGACTAACAACAGTACATGGACACTCTGAACTCAAGTCCTATCTACAGCTTCATAGAAAAGTCCTGATTGTAACCTGAGCTTCTAAACTTGAACTCAAGCTAGAGTCTATGAGCTTTGAATATTTAGCTCAACTCTATCCATAGACTGAAATGTAACATCCACAATCTGAAAAGTTTGTTGATGCTTTTAGCCCAAAAACCTTCTTTATAGTAAGTTATACTCTGGCTTAGTATCCCTCAAACTATGAAAAAGTTCAGTCACATAATATCACCTCCATCACACAGTAAATATAAAAGCTGTACAAGTCAAAATGGGGCTACTACCTACAGACTCAACTCTGATGCTGGCCAAACCAAAATACTAACCTGGGTCACACTGACTGATCCTTAACCCTGGCCAGAGAATAAGGGCCAAATGGGTCCCTATCACTTAGCTTCATAGACCATTCCTAATATCAGCTGTGGCCAAAGACAGAACTTGACATTGACTAAACTCAGAAATCACAACTTGAGTTTACTCAGCCAAATATGCATTCCTAATCTTGCTCATACTTATAATCAAAACCCTTACCACAAACTATACCCAAATGTTGTCTACAAAAGAAGTGCTAACTATGGTTTGAAACAAAAGTCTAGGGCATTGCTATGGTTTGCATGTATTTTAAATGGCATGCAAAGGTCCATATGTAATGGTTTGGTACCCAGGATGATATTGGGAGGTGCTAAGGCTCTTGAGGAGGTAGAGTTTTATGAGAGGTGCTTAGGTTATTGAAAGCCTGCCCTCAAAGGGATTGTGAGATTCTGCACATCCTCCGTCGGTGCTTCTCTGTGTGTGATATTATGACTCACTTCAAAAGGAACTCCTGTCATTGGTGTTCAGCAACGTCTCTACAATCCCTAACCAATGGTAATGCCTGACTTGATCTTCTAAAGCTGTGTGCTAAGTAAATAATTTCTCTTTATTAAGTTAGTTGCCTCAGGAATTTCACTGTAGTAATGCAAAGCTTACTAATACATGCACATCACAAGATGTCTTAGTTACTTTCTCATTGGAAATACTTGACACCCACAACTTGACACCCACAACTTGAAGAAGAAATTTATTTTGGCTCAGTTTGTAGAGGTCTCATTACATAGTCTTGGCTGGCTCTATGTCAAGACAGCTGGGCATAGAGGTATAGCAGAGAAGAAACAGCTCATGATATGGCAGCAGGAATCAGGAGTGACTAAATGAGAAAGCATCAACTTCTAGGTCATACTCCCAGTGACGTACCTCCTCCAATCCACTTTAACTCTCATCATCACATTTAGCTATAAATTTGTCACTGAACTAATCAACTGATGGCAAAGAATCACACCTCTATGATCCAATCACCTCCTAAAAGCACCAACTAGGAGTGCATGAGGGTTTGGGGAAAACACCACATATATACTATAACAGCAGGTAATATCCTAACATGGCAACAGACTGAATATTAGACACAGTCTATGCCTTACCATTGGCAACAGAGTGAGACATAATTACTGCATCATGAAGAAACTCTCACCAGTAACATTAATTAAAAGTTCACCTGATGGATAACTGAACATAAACCTTGTTCATATACTTATATAATCTTTTCCTAGGCAGAATAATCATCATGAACATTAATCCTAGGCTGAGCCATAATCTTGACGTTTGGTTAATTCCCAAGCCTAGAAATAAAAGTGATTCCAATACTGACCAAAACCTAAGGCCTAACCTTGAGCTGAGCCCTAACCCCATTTGTGGTCTAAGACTGATTCTAAAGTCTCTTCCTACATACAGACTAAAATCTAATTGTAGCTGAAGTTGGAATACAAATCTTGCCCATTCATTTCACAGTGAGATGTAATTCAGGCTACTCTAGATTTCTAGAAGTCTCAGTATGAGCTTTAACACTGATCATAGATGTACTGTAGTCCATGCCACAGACTAAAACATGAGTACAAATCTAGAGTTTGTGTTGATATCAGGCTGTTGTAAACTTGGCTTGATACACACTAACTATGGATCTACTCCAGCCTTTAAGATAGCTACAGAATGACCAATTAATCCAAGCAAAGATTGAAGCCAAATGTGGTCCACATTACAAATCTGTATCCCAGCCATGATCTAGGCTCTACTCTGGCTCATTCACAGCACTCATTCAGGAACTCAAAACTTGATCTATTAATTGATTTCTGAATCCAGTCAGGAAGATTTTTTTTTTTGTTTTGTTTTTTTGTCTTTTTCATTTTTATTGGTACCGGGGATTGAACTCACGACCGCCTGCTTACAAGGCAGGTACTTATGCCGCTGAGCTAAATCCCCAGCCCCAAGTCAGGAAGATTTAACCTGGGCTGCTATTACAAATTCATCTTAATATACAACAATGGGTCAAAAAGTATCAACTTTATTTGTATGCACACGTACATATATTCCAATAAGCCATACAGAATGATTACTTCATATTGCCTTGCATTTTAATTATTTCTCTTGCATGTTGATGATTTCTAATAGAATACAACCTCCAAAGTCAAGGCTGTTATTTCTGTGTGTGTGCTTCCCATTTCTCTATTCTTAGCATCTAGAACCATGCCTGGCATATGATAGTTAAAATAAATACTTGCTGAATGTATGAATGAATATTTCCTTGTTACTCTTCTGCCCTCCTGTCACTTGTGCTCTCTGTGCTTCATTCCAAAAATATCCACTTGATATTGGTTCATCTATCTGACCTTTTATTCATATGCTTTTGAAAGTATATCTTTATCTGCTACTTGGATATTTTTATTTTCTATGGTTCTACATGGAATCTTTGTCTGAGATGTGTGAATTTACTGGTAGAGTGCAAGCCTAGCATGTTCAAGGTCCTGGGTTCAACCCCAGTACTACAAAAAATTATCTCAATACTCAGTAAGTGAAATTTAATCCATTTTCTCTTATTTAATTGCCAAGTATATACTGATGTCTCTCAAATGTCTAGTTCCAACTAAGTCCACACCACTGAGCTTACTGTCTGTAGTTTTCATTAGCCTTCCAGATATCTTCACCAAAATGTTTTAAATGCCTGAAACTGATTTCCTCAAGTCCTTGGTAAAACTTACTTTTCTTTTGGGTTCCACATCTCAGTGAATAGTATTACCATTCAGTTTCCCAAGTCAGAAGTTGGAAGTCATAATGGGCTCTTCCCTTTCCTTCACTTCCTACATCTACCAACTCTATATGCTATTTGTTTCCTTCAAATCTTTTGATAGTTCTCTACTACTTTCCAGTTTGAATTTGCTCTCATTGTTATATTATTCCTGTTTAATCTAACCTTTGCAGTATGAAACTTTTTATTTGCTTGTTTCTTGTACTCTATCATGCCCATATGCCTCTGTACACATTCTGCGTAATCTATGTGTCACTTCCTTGCCCTAGATATGACAAATATCTTACTGGTTCTTCATGTCAGGCCTGGTCTCTTCCAGAAATAGAATGAGTTCTCCTTTATCGAAGTTTCCGTGTAATCCTATGTAGATTTCTTCTAAGTACTTTTTCCACAGTGTATGTTTGTTTATCTCCCTCTTTTGCACAGATTGCCAGCTAATTGAGAACAAGAACTACATTGTAGCAATAGTACCTGGTCCAGATCCTTGCACAAAGCTGTTTGCTCAATAAATGATTGAATCTATTAAATCCTTTTCCTCTACTTCTTTTTAAAAATGTAGCCAATTATCTTAGCAAAATGCAATCCCTCTGTCCTTTCATTTTATTTGTGAGTCAAAACGTTGTCCTTAACCAAGAAAATTGTAGGAATTCAATTGTAATGATCTATTCAAATGAAAGAATTTGTCTCTAACAGTATGTGTGTGTCAAAATTTAGTGAAATTAACTCTAATAACCATTTTCCTCAACATTTAATATCACTTGAAATTGTCTTCTCCACCTATTTTTAATCTCCTTTTTAGACATATTTTTACTCTAAAGACTTTTTTCTTAAGGATAGATAATTTTTTTATTATTCAGATTGAGTTATCTACCTGTTCTAAACTCTTGTATTACAACAGTGTACTGTATGTGGTCGCTGTTCTCCAAAGTTGTCTTTTTCTGTGCTAGTCTATATCACATTTCTATGTCTAATTATGATGCTGTTTCTAAGGAGTAAATATAATACCCAATTATAAACAAAATATACATTTCCTCAAGCATTTAAAATGACTCTAATACAGGTGGTTCACACAAAATAAACTGACAGTTTTAAAGGACCATGTCTCCTTTTCAGTTAAAATTTAAAACTTAACATAAATGTTGTAAAAATTCAAAGCAGCGAGAATATTAAGTCATAATACAATACAAAATAATTTCCATAAAATGAGAATAATTTAAGAACAATAAAATAAACCTAGAACCTTCATCTGCTAGCACAAGCACAGCCTCATAGGCTATGAGAGTGATTCTGCACGGCAGTGTCCTCTAAACTACAACACCCAGTATACCCTCCTCAGTCATTTGGCATACTAACGGAAGCGGCGCTAGTGATAGGAATTCTGGGTATTTTAATCTATATTTTTAAAAAATGTCTCGACTCCATCTCCCACAATCCTTCGTTTTTACTTTCATTTTTTCCACCAATACTAGTATTGAAAACTCCCGGACGCCTGGAAGAACAGCCTTTAGGGTCCGCGAACTACATTTCCCAGGAGGACAAGGTTTTGTCCTCAGGCTTTCCTGGTGACCACTAACCAATAGGAAGCGCTGAAACAACCCCTGTGTGGGTGAGCGTGTGGTCCGGGGCCCAAGTGCCGAGCGTAGGCCGGCTAGCGCGAGGCGTGGAGTTGAGAAGACAGTTATTCTGCCTAGGATGCCAAGAGGGTTCTCTGCGCCCAGGAGTGCCACGCCTGCCCGATTTTCCGCGGTTTTTAAGGAGTAGCGCTTCGGTAGCCGGGAAACTGGAGGTCAGAGAGGCAGAAAGCCTGAGTGGCTGTGGCGGGGGACTGGGGGACTGAGGGACCGAGGGGGCCCTGGAAGGAAGGTGCTTCCGGGGCCGCGGTGTGCAGCCCTAACTCCGCCCAGCTCCGCCTCTGTGAGGGAGGGAGTATTGGGACTGTGAGTCTGGGGTGGGCGCCAGTTTCCTAGAGCTTTGGGAGTGCTATCTCTCCCCTTCTCTTTCTTAATTGGCATGTACTCTTTTTCAACCACAGTGTTCCCCCTTTTCCCGCTTTGTGTCTCCTCAGAGGACTGAAATTAGGGTTCGTGACAGGGGCCTCCCATGGGCGGCTCTTGGATTCTCCTTACTGCTTGCAGGAGTTGGGTGATCTCTTTCCTTTCTTCCCACAATATTGCCATTCAGATTTGGGCATCCACCCCTCCGCACACACTCCCACTTTCCCCTGGTGTCCTGGGAATTCCTTGTCCCGTCCCAGGCGCAACTTGGTGTCAAATTTCTTTTTCCTGGACATTGAGATACAAATTGGTCGCTTTCGGGCTCTTGGCCACTCCACCCACTTCCCTTTCCTGGCCAGGTCCCGACGTGGGAGAGGGCTTCCTCTATTTCCCGAAGAGATAAGGAGCAAAAGGAAGAAATCTTGCTTTTGAGAAATATGTGTTTGAGATTCAGTTTAGTGTTCTGGTTTGAGTAATGGGCTGGTTAGACCAGTTTTAAAGCGCGAGCATTTTAGAGGGTTCCAGCAAAGACTGATGACATTAATGTTGATAAAAATTAAGGAGACACAATTGCTGCATAGACGTTTGTGAAACAGACTGCGTTAATTATATTATTACAAGCGCGTGCAAAAGTGACAGAGGGTTAGTGGAAGGAGGCAAACTGATAGCAGTGGGGGTTGCTTTGTGGACATTTAAGCCTAACACAGGAAGTGCCAAAGGCTTGAAACTTACCTACCTTTCAGAACACTCCTGGTGGGCTTTGTGAAGAAATCAAATTTAAATTTGGGGTTCAAAAGAGAAAAGAGATTTGAAATGAGCAGAGTTAGGGAAAATGGTTCCTGCCAGTAGGACTGAAATTTGAAAAGTGGATACAAGAGAGAGCACTGGGTGCCTTATTGGATTAAAAGTTATCAGCAGGGGTATATAGGGAAATAAAGACAAATTAAGATTGGGTGATTTTTCTTTTCATCCTAAGGAAACCTGATTTGAAATCAGTTCTTGGAGAACACAAAGAAGTGTGGTGATATGTTCCAGGTGTGAGTTTAATTTAAATCTAAGAAGTTTATGTTACAGATATTTTGTTTGTGGCTATTCTTAGCTACAATCTGTTAGCTACAATGTAGCTATCAGTTTGAAAACATAGTAATGTAAATTTGCTTTCTTAAAGAAATGCATTTGCTGTCTTTGTGCAGATTACTTGCATTTTAATTATCTAACTGAGAGACAAAAGTAACTATTGAGCCCATATAATGTCCCAGGCATCATCATAAGCACTGTGTTACAATATTTTATGATATATGTACTATTATTTTCACTTTTTTCTAGAAGAAGAAACTTACATGCAGAGAGTTTAAATACAGAAAGTCACATAGATAGTAAAGAGTTGATTTGGGGCTGGTGTATATACAATTTTGACTCCATAGCCCACCGTACGAATCCTGATGTTCATTTTTGTCCTTGACTTTCCAGTGTGTGGTGAGGCGAGATCATTGTGGGGAATAATTGATCATCCTGGCAGAAATGCAAATGATTCACTTTGAGTTTCTGCGTCAGAATGTATCTGCTGTAAAGTAGCTGCCAAAAACAAATTAGCTTAACTGCTGTTGCAACCATGGCTATTTGTCTGCCAAAACTATAGTTAGTATGGCTATTTCTGAATTGGATGATTCTCTTTGTAGAGTATGTCATGCCTCTAAGCTATTCAGACCTGGATGGTACTTTGGGTTTTACTTTATTTTAGCATTTTTTAAAGTGACTTGAGTCATATCTCCTCTATATCCTCTTCCAGATGGAGGTTTGGAGAATTACAAGATGTGAGCTCTCCTTGGATCTAGTTGGCAAGATAGATACCCACCATTCTGAGATCCCAGGGTGTATAGTATAACAGAGACAGGTACAAACTGCTGTGGAAGCATAGAGTAAAGAATGTCTAGCCTGAAGGAAGAGTCAGGGTGAAGGCTTCTGTGAGATGATATGACAGATAGGTCTTGAAGGATGATATGACTTTGCCAGGTGGAGAAGGCTAGAGGGGAGGCATTCTGTACAGAGTTTACTCTGTGAAACACATGTGACTGTACAAGATTAGGACATTTATGTTCATTATTGAGAAATTCATTTTGGCGGGATGCATATTGGGGAAAGGAAGGTATACTACTAGGAAAAGAGTATGAAAAGATATTTTGGGACTGATTTGTGAAGAATCAACTGTAATGCTAAGAAGTTCGGATATGCTCCTGTAGGCCAGGTGGCTCTGAAAATGTGGGGCATCTGTCAGGGGGTACAAAAATAAAACAACTAGTACATCAAATCTAAGTTTACTTAGGATTTTATTTGGTAAAAAATAGAAAACGAACCAGTTTGAATTTATTTAAACAAATACTAGGTAAATAACAGTATGAATATGCTAAAAATCATCCAATTATATTCAGATAATGGAAATTTGGGAGATACTATTTGTAGACTTCCAAAAACCGTTAAAATGTTTTAGGTGACTGTTGTGATCAGATTTTTCACATTTGGATGATGACAGTGAGAAGGATGCACTGGAGAGAAACATGACCAACGTAGAAGGTAGATATGCTGTTCTCTGCAGAGAGATGATAAGGACCTAAGTAAGAGTAATGACATATGAGAGAAGGAAATATATTTGAAAGATAGAATAAATAGGACTTGATAGATGTCAATATGATTTTGTCACTGTCAACAAAATTGTTTCAAAAGCTTATATATAACATTTGCTTGTAATATTTTCTATTTTTTCATGATCATAGTAATACCAAAATATGCCATGCTTATGTGTATTTTAAAGTAACATAGAGGCTATTATTAGTATTTAAGAGTGGGTTCAGAGGCTGGGAACACAGCTCAGTGTTAGAGCACTTGCCTAGCATGTACAGAGTTTTGGGTTTAATTTCTAGCATAATACACTCACAAGAAAAAATGAATTTGGATTACATCCAATCATCCTTCCTGCTTTATTGAGTGTCCTCGTAAGCAGTGGCACATATATTCAAGGAATTAGTAAGGAATATGAGTATAATCTGTGATCGTTAGCCATCTGAGGAAGTCCTCTGCCTTTAAGACAGTGCACCTTTGGGAAACCCTTTCAGCACCCTCACTCCACACTCATGGGAATGCACACATAGAGCAAGGCTTCCATAGGACCCTGCACTTACTTCTATACCAGCCTTACAGCACTGTAGTGTGTCAGTTTGTAGATGTTTCTGTCTTCTCTGTAAGAGCAAGGACCTGGGTTCATTCATCTTCATACACATAACATCCAGAAATGACACTTATGTAGCATCCAGAAACAGCACTTGGCATATAGTAGATGCCTGATAAATGTTTACTGGATGAAAACAATAGATCAACAGACTCACATGAATGTAGCTATGGACCATAGACCTTTGGTACCACAGAGTGCCAAATGCTATGAAGATTATCGTTGGCTACATTTACTGCTTCTGCTAAATAAAGCAGTAAATGAAAATGCCCATAATTTCACCAGAGGTACGTTTTTATTCTCATAATTTACATTTGTTTCTTAGGCCTGCCCATTGCTTCATCCCTCTTGACAGAATTCATAGTGTACCTTCCCTAATACTTTGCAAGGAAACATCCCCCTTCTGTCTGCACCAAGTCCAGTTGATTCCATCCTTGACATAACTCTCAGATCTCCTGCTAGTTGTAGATCCTGCTAGTAGAACTACAATTTCACAACAGTACTTCTGGAAAGCATTTTGTTCTTATGTATCAGAAATCTTAAAATTGAACATAGCTTTCAACCCACCAGTTCAACTTGTAGAACTCAGTACTGAGGAAATGATCACAATATTTCCACAATTTTAGCTTGCAGAATATTTATACCACAGTTGTTTATGATAATGACCAAAAAAGAAAAAAAGAATAGCCTAAATGTCCATTACTTAGAGTTTGAATGGAACTAATTGTAGTACATTTATTAAGTATCCAAGAATGTTGTTCTTACCAAAGTATATTTAGTGATGTGAGAAGTTGTTTATGGTATATTAAGAAAACATCCATGTCGTAAAACTATCAGTACAAAATGGCAAATGTAAGTACCTGCACACATGTCACATACCACACACATCTATTTATACACAGAAAAACCCTGTAAGGTTAAATACCCAAAAATATTAATAAAGCTTTGTTATAAATGATAATACTCCCTATGATTTCTATTTTTAACTTTTCACACATTTTCATTGTCTTAAGTTTTTACAATGATACGTTCATTAATTTTTAAAAAAAAAATTGTTTAAAAGTTTTTTCCAGGTCTACCCTATTACCATTGCCTTAGCCTGGTATGTCCGCCACCTGATAATCCATATGTATCACTCATAGCGTGGATTACTACTGCCTCGAATTTACCCTTCCAATCCATTGTCCACTGATGCTGAAAAAATAAGTTTTGTAAATCACACATCTGAGGCTATTTAGTCTGTGTTATAGTTCAATGACTCCTCATTGTCTGTAGGTTACTATCCAAACTTAGACTGTCTTATAAAACATTTGAGAGTTAATTCTTTGCTTTTTTTCTAGTATCAGCTTTCTTTTCACAATTTACTTTTCCTTCAGTTCTTAGGCCAGTACCAGACACATTATAGGTGTTTAGTTAATGTTAATCAAATATTGATGTGAATTGTGTAGGTTAGTTATTCTGTGCCAAGTAATCTACTTGTATTGCATTTAATCCTCAAAGCAAAAATATTAAATATATTTAGTTATTCCTGATTTATAGTTGAGGAAGATTACTTAGACTGAAAGGAAA